TATACAGTCCTCACAGTGTTTGGCTTTTGCTTTCTAGAAAAACATGTAGTGTTATTCCATCTCTTTGTGAAGAAGTCTGACCTTAAAACTTATTGTGCTCTGTATTTTATTGTATTGTATGAGTTGTCTCTACTGATGAATGATAAAGCTATTTATTTTCTTTTTGTTCATTGTAGTCCCAATAATAATAATAATAATGATAGTGATGATAATAATAATAATAATGATAATAATAATAATAATATCTCCCATCTCTCTTTTGTATTTGTGTTTTTACTTTTTGTTTTTCTTTCTTTGTTTCCATTTTTTATATGGGTTTCTCCCCCTTTTCCTAATTTCCTCTCTCTCATTCTCTCTCTCTCTTTCTTTTCTAATTCTTGTTTTGTCTCATAATAATAATAATAATGATAACAATAATAAATATTATTATAATCATAACCACAATAATAAATCTTTTCCAGATCTCATTTGCCTCTTCTTCCGTCCATCTGAGGGATCGTGATCGTTTCAAGAATTATTTCCAAATCTATGCATCTGAGAGCAACTACATTCCAGGGATAGCATCAATCATGACATTTTATGGATGGAGTCGAGTTGTCATTATTACAGAGAAAGTGACCCTTTTCACTGAAGTATGCTTGTGTGTTTAGTGTTTACATACACATTTTACTACACGATCATGTAGTGTATGTTGTCACACACAACTAGGCATCATGTCATGTACCACACATCATAACATTACTAACTAAAATTACTTAATTGCCACATATATTAATTGTTACTAATATACCTTCATACTGGGCCCTATGTGCATTAGACTGAGGAGACACTCTTCGAATTGCTCACTACAAAATCTGTTAATGCTACAAGGATTGATTTTGAGTCTGATGACGATCCTGCTGATATTCCTAATTTGTTTGTAAGTTCATTTTTGCCTTCGCATTTTAACTGTTATACACGTGCATGTACATGTATGTATGTATCTAGTGCAGTAAAATGGCAGTTATTCTTTTCTTGTTTTATGTAGCCTGAAAATGGGAGGATTTTTTTTTTAAATATGTGGGAGCCAAAAGCAAGACAAGTCATATGTGAGGTAAGAAGTAAAGACTTGTACATATGTAACTTTAAGGTACCCAAAGGTACCATGCTAGTCAGTGTAGTATATGCAATATCAGTATCTAAGCCACTATTAAAACCATTGGTAATAGAGCTACAACATTGTGTAGATTTAAGGACTAAAGCTCAGACTGATTACCTCAAGTTTGTATGAGCTCCTTTGAAGCACCCTTACCAGTTCTGTACTGTGAAAGGAGGATCCTTTAGAGTAGGAAAGAGATACGGATCAGTAAAACGTAGCAAGTTCTGTCTCATTGCTATTGTAGCTGAGATGAGTAATGGAGACACCCCTAGTGACAGTGATGATGATTATAGTACACCACCTGAAGGTATAGTATCAGTCACCAATAATTAACTTTCTGATGCATTTGTAATGTCGTGCATGATGTGTATAGGGTCGGATGATGAAGATGGTGGTACTGCTACTGATCATAGTCAAGTGGTAGGAGAAGCTAATATGAACACAAGTGAAAATATTATAGAGGGAGCTAATCCACAATCTGAAAGTGTGTCATTCTCACCATATTTTATTTTGAACACAACACTTACAGTTTATGATATTTATATTAGGTACTTTGAGTATACCATCTTTTGAAGATCAAGTGAAGATAACAGAGGATATAGACAGA